ATAACCGGAACTGTTACAACTAGGCCAATTGTTCCAAGCATAACTTGGCAGTTGAACTACAGTCAGAGTCGCAATGCAACTTGATAATTGAGTCAACGATTTTTTTCAGTAACCATATCCATATTGGTTAATCTGGTTACCATTTCTGGAACACCAAACAACTATTAATTTCCCGGTGCAGACAAAATAAAATCGATGTTTTATTTTAACGTCATTTTAAGATTTTTAGTAAAATTATAATAGTATATAATATATTAGAGAAATAACAAACAAAAATCAAAATTAAAAAAAAAACTAAATAGGATAACAGAATAGCAATAACGAACTAGATCCGAATTTTTCGGGCATTTAATAAGTGGAACCATCGGGTCCAAATTTAATTATAGAACTGTTCGGGTTTGGTTCCATTCGGTTCGGTTCAGTTCAGTTTAGTTCGGTTCGGTTCGGTTCCCAGGTTTCGTATTATAATTAAATATTTTAATATTTACAAAGTTACATTAATTCAACTAACGATATATTCAAACTTAGCTCTTAAAAAATAATGTAGTTCAATCTTAAATATCTTTTGCATCTCTCTTTACTGAATTCTTTATAAATTAGACTGTAAAAATCACAGGAAGAGAAAAATATCGAGCTTACAATAATTAAGAGAGGTATTGTCGAGTTTCATTTCAATTTCTCCATAACGACAAAAAAGGCACTACAGTTAAGTGATAGTCTAACAGATTTGGATAAAACTTAGGTCAATTTGATTAAATTGGCTTTGTACTGAAAATTAGAAATATGAAAAATCATATTTTTAGGTTTGAACTAAATTAACCTGTTAGCAAATTTATTTAGAAAAATAAAACAATTTAGCTTATTTGAAATAAATCAATTAAAAAATGAGGGAGATTCGGTTCTTATTTAGTTTTTCGGCTCTTGATCTAGAACCGATAACCGAACTAAACTCGTCGATTCTCGATTAAGATACCAATTCGGGTATCGGTTCAGGAGTTTTGTCCAGCCCTAAAATTGATTCCTATGAAAACACAATGTATATCGTTAAAATAGATTTACCCTCTCACTATAAGTGCTTGAGGTTTTACTGACTCCCAATACAATTGACAAACTAGTACTGATTTTATGTGAACACTATCATCAAAACTTGGATATGGATACATGAAACAAATAAGGAATATATTTTGGAATAAAGAAATTTTTGTGTGAACCGATGAAAACGACCACTCTTAAAGTCTCTAATAAGTGACTTATTACACCATTAATTTATCATTAATCCAACAAATATCACCCGTGTTAACATAGACAACAAACCATAGAGTTTAAGGAGTTGATAACTATGGAAGGGTAGTTGAAAACAATTTAAAATAAATAGAAAACATGGATCCTACTGAGGGACCAAATTTCAGTTTGTCAATCGCATATGCATGTCACATTTGCACATAGGTTCAATTGCCTTCTCATTTTTCCTATATGAGACAAACTATAATTTTGCTTTCCGTCTAACATCTAACCACTTCCAATTAGAATAAATTGATCTTCAATTTATCATTCATGAGCATCATTTTGACCAAGTAAATAAATGATTTCGATGTTTTCGCATAGGAAAACACAAATCTATTTTGATCCGCCAAAGAATAGAAATGAATCCCACTCAAAATCATACCAAAAAAATAATAATAATAATAATAATCATTTTCCAACAAGCAATACTACAATAATGTGATTTAATGATAGAAAGAGCAGAGCGAGAATGTGGTGGGTTGCTCAGGGAGTTGTGGGAATGGATTATAGCATGGCATTATTGACCAACATACTCTCTATTCACTTTTATTTCTATTTTCCTTTTCTCTTCTTTTCTTTTTAAAGAAGTCCATTTCATTTTTCTTGTTAAGGTAGTTACATTGTCATGCCATTGTACCACTTCTTAATTGTATCAAAAATTATTCTTTGCTCATTATCATACTTAAGTCCTAAACTTTTTCATCGTTGTAACACCCGAAAATTTGTAGAAAAATTTATTTGTACTATATGCCATATTTTTATATTTTGAAAGTTGATGGGCTAAAGTGCAATATATTAAACTCAATTTTATTCTGGCCAAATAATTAGAATTTGTTAGAGCAATATTTAGTATATCAATATCGGGCTCGTTGGATAGCTCGTATTTAATCATCTATTTTACGCTCAAGAAAAACTTAATTCGGATAAGAGAAGCCTATGTTATTTAAGTTTAAATAAGTTGTCAATATATATATATATATATATATATATATATACATGCAACCATTTTCCACAAAGAAAAAGTCAGATTTCCTTTCACCATACTATATAACTTTTATAAACACAGTAGTATGTTGAAATAAAGTTAGAATGTGATTTTGGTTTTGTTTTTCCAAAAATTCGTTTGATTTAACGAGGCAGGATAATGAAGTGCAGTTGTTTTTTGCCATCCGGTATCAAAGATATTATATGTATTGAGCTCTTACCAGTCTCTAAAGATATGATGACAGTATGATATTTTGATGCATGATTTAAATATTTTATTCAAGATTGCACCATTGTTTTCGTGTCCTACTTAGTATTTCCATATACTTACCCTTTCTCCTCTAATCCTCACAGGTTAGAACGGGTCGTTATTTGGCGGGCGATGTGGTACAGTTGTGGAGCCAGGATACATTGTAACGTGAAAGAATATTTTTAATTTTAGCAGTAATTTCATTCCAGTATTTTAGTGGCCTTTATCTATGTTGAGAAATTTGAAATATTATTTATTTGCTCATAAATTTCTATTTGTACTAATGGAGTCAAAATTTTATTTTATCTGTTAAACGTGCATCGCATAAATTTTAAAGTTCATCAAATTTCTCATTGTCCGATTTGAAGGCGTGCCTCAGTAATTTGTACCCCTTTATATATGTGTGTGTATCTGTCCGTGGAAAAGTGTGAATTTTGTACATTATTTTATGGCTTGGAATGTGTGTCGGGGTTATTGGTTAAATTTTGCATGTGATGAATAATGATTCTGGCCCCCACTGTTAATCAGTTCACTTTTGTCGAATTTCATGTACTTATTTCTAAATGAAGTATTTGTATATATAGAAATAAGATATGAGTTAGTTAAATAAACAATTATATATATGTGTGTGTGTATATATGTGTGTATATATATACACACACACACATATATCATGTTAAATTTGTAAATTAATTTTAGTAACGGTTGAAAATTTAAAATTAGGGTTGTTACAATCGCATTTTAATATTAACCTTTAATTAGTTAGCACATTTTGTCTTCATAACATATTCTGCTCAAAAAGTCCGTTAAATGGTGTAAGAATACTTTATTTGCCTCTCATAATTTTAAATTAGAGAAAAAAAACAAGAAATAAAAAAATTAAAGCAAACTATTAGAATACTATATATAAAAAATTTTCAAAGACAAAATATGCTAATTAATGAAAGATTAAGAATAAGATTGCCTTAAAATAATGTAGGGACCTATGTGCACCCGTAATAAAAGATGAAGGGCTTTCTTTACTACAATTAATAAGTGATAAAACAAAAGAAAATTGCTGTCTCAACATAAATTACCCATTGTAAAAATGAAGTAATGCTTTAGAGACATTATAATCCTCTATATTGACCCTACTAGTATCGTATTTTGAGAGTGTGGATTCTTTTACCAACTTTATTTATTTAACATAAAATATTTGGATGCTTGATTCAAATTGAATCTAGTCAACTAAAACATTATCATCAATGAATGGCATATGTTGCATTCTTATCCACATGACCCGGTCATTCGCTGAAGACTGTGGACCGCATGTTTGTCAAATAAGGTTCTATAGCCAATTAAGGTCATTTGCAACACACATTCTAAGCTTGCACAACAAAGGGACCACCTCAAATGTACAAATCCGTCTAACTTGACATAAAATAAATCTACAATTAAGAATGGTGATCTATATTAAAACAAATGATTGATGTTTTCACGTGAATTCAAGTTTCTTTTCTTAATCATTGGGTTTCAACAAAGTACGTGAATCTGGTAAAGGATGCCATCTACAATTTGATTTTATTACACTATTCTAAATAACAGCTGATCAAATTAACATAATGGAACTAAGTGACAATGAACGAAATTCACAATATTGTTTTGAATTTATAATCAATGAACATGTGAACAGCACGAGACTAAATATAGAGAACTCGAGCTAATGGTAAGAGCTGGAAATAGAGAGTTTGGAAGAAAATCGCATTCATTAAGGAAGGAAACTGAGATTGGTCACTGAAAGCCCAATATTAGTCGGTAAATCAAATTACCGACCGGAAGGTTTTGATCGGCGGCTAGTCGCCAAAGGGTAGCCAGGGAAGGTTTTTACCAACCAAAATATAATTTAGTCGGGAAAGAGAGATTTTTACCGATCAAAAAATTGTTGGTCGGTAATTATAAACCTTTTCTTGACCATGATTTTGGTCGGTATATGCCTAAAGTAGTCGGTAATAAACAAGTCATGAGTAGTGGTAGTAAACATAGACCGACCACAGTAGTTGGTCGGGAATAATATACATTTGCTGACCAAAAAATCAAGTGACATTTATTGACCGAGAGATCAAGTGAAATTGGTCGGTAACTGCTTTTCTCGACTATGGTTTCGCTCGATAAATGTGATTTATTTTATTTTTTACAACCATGTCCAACAATCAAAGTTATAAAAAAGGTTGAAAGGCCAACTCAAACACAATGTACCAATAAAAGTTCAAATTCAAGAAATATCAGAAATTGCAAAACAATAATCACAATAAAAAGCCTATAGCAAAACAATTACAAGGCAAAATACTATATCATATCTTTACCAGTCAATTCCAATTTTAGAATAAGTAACTACGTCACATGCCCAAACTATAATAGATTTCACAATAAAAAGCCTAGTCTAATTCCAAAATAAGAGAAGATTAGCTTAATCCAAAATAATAGCATATGTAATAATGGAGTATTAACCATCAAAATATAAAACCATGTAAATGGAATAGAAGAGCTTTAAACTAGTGATCATCATGTGACTCGTGAATAGGTGATGATGGTAACGATGTCGAATGAGTAGCAGGAACTCTAGGGCTGCCTATTCTAGCGGTGGCACGTGGCATAATCTCTTCTAACTAGGCGAGAATATGCTCATTTTGGCTCCGCAAATTATGCACGATTTGGCGAAGCTCAGCAATCTCTCATTGAGTCGTGTTTGCACGAGATGTAGCATGTGGAATCTTTGGACCTTGCCCAAACCCCTATAGTAGCAAGAAGTAGTTCCAAAGATCCAACTCGCAAAGTCATTAGTAGTGAGTTGTACTCCTTGGCTCTCAGTTTCCTCTCCCACAACATGTGCCTATTGTGTTGTTTGTATGTCTACCATCTCTTTCTACATGACAATAGGAAAGTATTAACACAAATAAGGTAGTAAAATATTTATTCCTTTAAGTAATAATAAACTTAAGGACTTATAGTATTTGTTTATTACATATTTCTCCTCAGCCATAGGATGGATCCAGCCTTTTGTATCCTTGTAATGTGTGTTCTTCCATAGCTGAATTCTGTCTGGTCGCCCAGTTACATTATCCTATTAGAAGAAATAAGAATAAAATTGAATTGAATTGAAATTGTTTCCTAATAGAGATGAATATGTTCCTTCTTACTTACCCCCATAGCCTGCCATTGAATAAATGATATAGAACCAGAAAAATGGGTAAATTCTTGTCGGGATCTATTGTCAACTACTACCTTGGATCTTTTCTGTATTGACCAATTAACAGAACAAAAATAGTCAATGAACTAAATAAGTTAACCAATGAACATAAATGGAAGTTATACTATATATAAATGCACCTGAAACCGCTCACTTTCCCAATAGTCACACAAATAATCCCAATCAACCTGATGTCTGATTTCTTTAGGCTTATTAGCCTTCCTATGAGCCATTGGTTGATCTAGAAATTCTTGTAATGTGTGTGCAGCTAATATCGAAACTCCTTTAAGGAAGTGACCATTGATTTCTCCATGAACTCTTTGAGAGTTGCATATTTATCATATTGCACATAAAAAGTAGCCTATATATAGAAACATATCATGAGTGAAAATATAGTGATGAGCACAAAATTCACACAAATATATTGGAATATGAAGTTGCTACTCCAAGCAACCAAAATCAAAATGCCGGCAATTCATATCATTCAAGACATGCATACATGTAAATGAACATTTGCAAAAATTCAATATTTTAAATTATGATATTGACTTCTAATCATTTAGAGAACCTTTCATTTTTATACCTGGTATACTAACTTATTATTAACTTTGTTCCCTCCTTTAGCAATGACATGTTTAAAGAAAGAAAAAGGTGTAAAAGTTCTACTAGCGCAAGAAACAAAAACGTGTTCAAATAATATATGTCTAACAAAAAAAGGTTCAAGTAAGAATTAAATAACAATAATAGAACTACATGTCTGTATTGGCAAAGTGGCTAGTACAGACTGGATGGTAGGTGAAGGCTACGTGCTAGGTTGAGTGATAGCCTGCGTGATAGGACCATTCAGAGGTCTTGGGGGTGGTAGTTTCCTCTTTGGTGGCATAGGAATAACCTGTGCTGTTGACAGTAAAAAAAAAAAAATTCAATACACATAAAATTAGATTTGAGCACATTGTACCAATCATGAATTTGTGTCAAACAAATAAATTGTTGCTAAAAAAATTACTAGTCAACAACTACGTGCCACTACATTTCTAGTATGTAAAAGGTTGTGTCAAAATCAGCAACTACATTTCTGGTCTGTAACATATGGTCGTTGTTCTGCTAGTCTATTTTTATTCTAGTACCGAACCTGAGGCACAAGAGCGATAAATGTTGAACCAAGTGAATCAGATAGCTTCATTCATAAAATGCATGTACTCAAATTTTGAATCATATTTTATTAGCAGAGTACCAAAGATTGCATAAGCCTCAGAAATATATTGTTTCAATATCATGTCACGAAAATTGATGGAGGGAAGAAAAATAAATAACAAGATTTTTCAGTAAATTTGGATAAAGAAAGATAAGAAGACGGTGCAGTAAATTTTGAATAAGCCCTCATTGTTTCTTAGATGAACATGGAAATTAATAGAACAGTAATTATTTCTTCTCAAATGTGATTCTTTTGTTTTTCTTATTCAATAGGGCTCGGAGATGAAAACAACTTAGATAAGTCCTGATGTGATTCTCTTGTTCTTCAAAGAATCACCTATGGTATTGGAGGAATGACTAAGTAAACAATAGCTTATATGCTCCTACAAAAAGTCCAAGAATCCATTCTTACATCGAAAAATTTCAAAATATAGTACAGAATTATTTTCATCCATTACATGAAGCAGTAACAACAAGCCCACAATTAAGTCATGTTTCCTATCCCCCATCTAAATTAGTCTTCTCCCCTCCACTCTAACTAAAACTAGAGCATCTAAAACAGATCTCAATATAATGCAATTTGCAGTCTAGAAAATCCTCCTAAACTTAAGTCACATACAACATTACCTATCACCCCCATTTGATGTTGACAAGTAGCTATTAACATATAAAAATCTATTTGTAGGATTTTTTTGATTCATGGCTACAATGTGCTCAAATTGAGTCTGTGTCTCATGATTTTGGCAGAGCATCCATGATAAGGAAAAGCACATAAAGGAATCTCAAAAAAGGATTTTTAACCAATGATCAGGAGTGTCCCCAGAGAACAACTCAAAAAGATAAAGATAATACAAATTAATCATACTGATAAAAAAGCCATACAAAGAAACTTACACCAAATATTGATTTCTAAGATAAGAAGCACCAATAGCACCTGAAGAAAAAATTAGCACAAATAAGTTTCATGAAGTACAAAATGGATAAGGAAATTGAAAAGTCAAAAATCTATACAGTGAGGGAAAAGTCAGGAATTGGAGGGTGGATGTTAAAATATATGCAGTGATAAAATTGAAAAATTTTGAGAAAATTGAAAACCTTACAAAATTAAAATAAATAAATGAATCAATCAAACCTCTCCTTTTTTTTTTTTTTACCAAATAAACCAAACATATAACAAAATTTTCAAAAAATCCAGGTGTGAGTGTGGGGTAAAGATAATGAAAGCACAAAAAGAAGAAAATGGAAAAACTGAAACCTTAGTTTAGGATCTGAACTTGTCCAAAACCTAATTTTATGGTACTTGTTCTTATCAAGCAGCTTGTTGTAAGAGTGCATTGCTAGGAATGGCTCAGTGTCGGGTGGCATGCTTCGCTAGGGAATTTGGAAAGATGCAATACGGATTGTAATATCTTCATTTTCCGCTCCAATTTTCTCATTTCACTAATTTATTATTTTCTTCCTATTTTGTTAATTTTATTGTGATTTAAATTAAAAATAGAAAACAATTAAAAATAAGAGTTGACACAAGGATGTGTTTTCAAATATAAGTTAAATTTAGAAACTAAAAAAATGTAAAAAAACAAGAGTCAAGGCGAGGTACGGATTTTTAATTACAATATAAGTTTAAGGACATAAAAATAAAGATAAGTTGATGAGGAATGGGTCCCAACCTTGATTTCCCAATCCACTATATCGATGCCACTCACTATTAGGATATTCATATTAAAACAAAAGTTTTGAGAAAGCTTCATAAATTCAATATATTTATTTAGTTACTATTTTAATTTGATTTTTGTTAGTTATAATATAGAGAAAATAATATAAACTATTGTATTTTTCCAACTCTTTTACATTATTGTGTTATTATTTACTTTTATCAGGAGCTACAATGTCAAATTACAAAGAGCAATAGATATACTTGAGTTTCAAGAATAAATGTAACAATTCATATGAACTTGCAAGACAATCATGCGAAACAACAATGCATAGCAAACCTAAATTAAAACAAGAAAAAAACTTCTTTGCCTAGAAAAACCAGACTAGCAGTAATGCATGAAATGTACAATGTACATAAAAACAATATATTTCTTTACTTACCTAGACATCACTCATGAGAAGGTGGTTGGTGCACTAGCATATTAGAAACAATGTGCATAGTTGGCCGATGTTGTGGATTGGAGTGTAGGCATTCAATTGCAAGTTTAACAACGGACATCAAAATCACCTCTTCTTCTTGAGTGGGATAAAGAATGCGTGGATCCAATAGATCTTCCATCCGTAAATCTCCATTTGATGGAGTTGTTATGTATTGAATGTATTCACCAGGATGCTTTCCTTTGATCACTTCCAATGCTAACACCCCAAAACTATACACATCACACTTTTCAGTAACCTTCATTGTGTATGCAAGTTCTGCCCAAAAAACAGGGAAAGAATACAATCAATATCATGTATATATATTATGTGAATGAAATTTAGGAAAAAGAAATATTACCTAGAGCGAAATAACCATATGTGCCTGCAGGAGAGCTCAAATTCGATGAATCACATTTCAAAAACTTAGCAGTGCCAAAATCTGAAACATGAGCCTCATACTCTGAATCAAGCAAAATGTTGTTGCTGGATATGTCTCGATGAACAATTGGAGGCAAACAACTATGATGCATGTAAGACAAAGCATAAGCCACGCCCTTCACGATATTAATCCTTTTAGGCCAATCCAATTTCCTAGCTTCTTCATCTACGCTTAGAGTTTTGGCCACACTACCTCTATCAAGGTATTCATAGACCAAAAGTGAGTTTTGAACATTGGAGCAGAAACCGTAAAGTTTCACAATGTTTCGGTGCCTGATTTCCATCAACGCTCTTATTTCATTCAGGAAAGCTTCAAAATTTACCATTTCGGATGACGAATGAAGTCTTTTGACTGCTACAGTAACCGTTTTGGATGAGGAAATGAGTCTTTTCCCTTCTATTGTCTTTTTTGATGAAAGTTGTGCCTTGTATACCTTTCCACATCCTCCTTCCCCAATACAAAATGCTACATCAAATTCATTTGTGGCCTCTAAGATGTCTTTATACGTTAGGTCTCCATTGAATATGGTGAGCAAATCATCATCTGATTTCTTTGGATTCATCTTTCTTTGTTTATACAGGATGAGGATCCCGATAAGTGCAAATAGAAGTGAAGATACACAAAGAAGTGGGATTGCAATTATTAAAACAAGTTTGTGTTCATTCCCTGTCTTCTTGCTTATACAAGTTCGTAATCCTGCAATATTGCCATACAATCCTTTGTTCCCTTGTAGTTGTTCTATGGAGACATTTCGAAAGGCTCTGGCATTAGGAACTGGACCCTCCAACTGATTACAAGATATATCAATGTCCACCAAGCTAGGCATTTCTTCCAAACTCTTAGGAATGAGTCCGAAGAGGTGATTGTGTGAGAGGTTTAACATTTCCAAGCTTTCCAAAAATTTTAATTCAGATGGTATTTCTCCAGTGAGTAGATTATTACTCATATCCAACTCGGATAGATGGATTAACTTACCGAGCTGATGAGGGATTCTCTGGCTCAAATTGTTGAAGCTCAAATTCAAGTAATGCAACTGCTCAAATTTCGCTAAATTTCCAGGTATCTGACCAAACTTGTCCAAACTTGGATGAAATTTGTCCAAACTTGCCTAATTCATATTAAAAGCGTAATAATATAGATTGAATACTCTCTAAGTGATAATGATTGAATAGTTATGATTTTTCCGTAAATTCAATTAATCTAATTTATTTTCTTGATAAAGCTTTGACACTTAAAATTTTCTAGAAGAGATAGCAAACTTGAACCGAAAACAACTAATAGAGTAATTTATTTACTTTATTCAAATTTAAATTGTAAAGGAAGAGAGCAAGTTAGATTTAATTATCAAGGCTAAGCAACATTATAGGACTAAATACATTCTCAGGTGGCCCCGTTAAGCAAGATAGAAAGGTTTTAAAAGACCCTCACCATACCTTTCTCAAACTCCACAAAAGGAGGGATCATCTTCCTTCAAAATTTCTATTGATACATCAAAACTCCGTAGAAATCACTTCATATATACTACTAACATACAACGCTCATATTGTACTCTAGTTTCTCAATTTTTATACAAAATAATTTTCATTGTCCACATGTCAACAATGCAATTTTCTTTTGGCAAGAACATCGTACATCAAGAAATCTTGTCTTAGATTTGTCATGCAAGTATATCCCTTACTAAAAAAAAAAAAAAAAAAGACGAGAACTTAAACGAGAACATTGATGCAAACATATAGCAAAAGAAATTTACTACTACTCAATTTTATAATTTATTTCTAAATTCAATCACTTACAATAATTTTAGCCACACATTAATAATTACTAACATTATTATCCATAAATTTGGTGGGATCCACTACCATTTCCTTTTTTAAGCCATATACAAATTTGTGAAGCGAATGTTAATGTAAATGTTGATTTCGTTCAAAACTTTTGCCAATTTTTCTAAAGTTGAACTGAATCTTTTTTCTTCGCCTCAGTTTGGCACTTACATTTCAAAAATTAGTTTTTCTTAAAACTCATTTTTAATCACACTTGAGACCACACTTTTCAACCACATATTTCATTAATTTTATCAAAATCTAATTTATATCTAAACTAAATTGGAGCTACGTTTTTCTCTTTTCTAATTAGCAACCCTTTTTTTTTTTTGGTCTTTACAGAATATTCCCATTACATTTAGGTGACGACATCGTTTGCAAGGTGCAGAGAAAACACTACATCTTTACACTGAGGGTGAATTAACAATAAACTACTAAGTTGAACTTAATTGTGCCTAGGCACGTACCCTAGACGTGATTTATTATTATTATTATTATTTTAATTTCCTTTTTTCAGAAACCTCTTATTTGACTTTAATTTATTAATTTATTAAAAGACATTTATTTGACTTTAGTTTCAAGTTTTTAATTTACTTGTACAGAAAACTAAAATGACTTTATTTGATAAAAACTAGATAAGATTTAGGTTATAGTGCTGTCATACTATGTAATTATGAATTTGAGATTGATTGTATTTTTGAAAATTTCAAAAGTATATATGAAATTTCTATAAATCTATTAAGCAGGATTTGTCAAGTTGAAAATTGAAATTAGAAAAAATAGTCTAATTTTTACATTTTGAAAACTTGAAAAATTTGTGTAATTGACTTGTAGAAACTATTAAATAAATACATTATTTTATAATTTTAGATGTTTGGTACGTATTATTTTAATTGATAAATGTTTTTTTGAATGATTAAGTATTTAAAATAATAATAAAATTAAGTAACGTCTTTTTACATTTAGAGTCGTAAAACTTGAAATTTGACCTCTACATCTAACCACACTTTACCTTTTTTAAAAACACGGTATTTTATTTACCACATGATAAGCATTGTAATTTTTCCCTCTACATATGATCAAATTTTAATTCACATTGCACGTGTTATTATAATGATGATGTGACTGCTTTTTTTTTTTTTTTTTAAACAGAGAAAACGTTTTAAAGTAATATGATGAAATTTGTCCAAATTTGTACTCAGCTCATATCAAAAAGCATAAAATAAAGATTGACTAGTGTCAATTATTAGTTGCCTAATTATGAAACTCAATTTCTTTTTCTTCCCGTAAATTCAATTAATCAAATTTATTTTCTCAATTAAGATTAGACATAAATTTTTTAGAAGTGAGAAATAGCGAACTTGAATTGAAAACAACTAACAGAGTAATTTATTTATTTACATTCAAATTTGAATTGTAAAGAAAAAGAATAATTTAGATTTTATTGTCAAGGTTTAGCAATACTAAAGAACTTAGTACAATATCAAGTGACCATGTTAAAGGAGCTAAAACGGTTTTGTAAGACTTTCAACCCACCCCTCGGCAAACTCCATTGAAAGAAGGGATCATCTTCCTTCAAACATCTTCATTGATATGCTAGAACATTGTAAAACTCAGTTCATATACAGACACTATTAACATACAAAGCTCATATACTATAACGACTCAATCTGTATATAAGATAAGTTTCATTGTCTATGTGTCAACATTGCAATTTTCTTCTGTAAGAACATCGTACACTAAGAACCTCATCTTCAATATGTTATCCAAGTGTATCTCTTACCAAAAAAAGATAGACGAAAACATTGATGTAAACATGTAGTAAAAGAAATTATCTCCTATTCAAATTTATGAATGATTTATAAAGTCAATCACTCAAACATTAATTTCAAACACACATTCATAACTACTAACATTATTATCCATAAATTTCGAGGGATCCACTATAAATCATTTATAAATTTGCCAAGTGGATGTTAATATAAATGTTGATTTCGTTCAAAACTCATACAAATTTTTCTAAAGTTGAACTGAATCTTTATTCTTCCCATCTGTTTGGCCTTTATTTTTCATAAAACTTATTTTTAATTACACATTTTATGAGATCCACAACTTTTCAATTTTAAAATTCATCAATTATATCGAAATCTATTAAAATTCTAATTTATATCTAAATCAAATAGGAGCATCGATCTTCACCCTTTTAATTAGCAACCGCCTTTTCTTTTGTCTTTAAAGAATACTCCAATTGCAATCTTGAAAACGTGTCCCGTCTCCATTAGAAAAATAAGCCCCTGTTTGAGAACCATTTTTTTGGGAAAATGTGTTTTAGAATAGTATTTTTTGAAAAATCTGTGAGAATTTATGCATAAAATCGTTTGACAAGGGAATGTGTTAAAAAAAAAAGAAAAAAAAAAAAGAAAAAAAGCGGACTCAATCATGGGCTAAGTTGACTCAGAATCAACAATTGAGTTTACTAGCCGACTTTTGCTGTTGCAAACTAGTAAATTTTATTCCTGTGTATATTGATATCTTATTTCAATATTTTGCTCAACCAAAGTCTTAACTTTTGCAATTTGGGTCATTTAGTTTTCAAAATTTATATCTTGTCCCTGAATTCAGCATTTCTTTTTTCAACTTCCATCATTTTTTTTTATCAATTATCATTCATTTTCATCCGTTCTCGACCAATAGCAAAATTTATCTTAAAATAATCAAGAAACACATAAAGTTAAGTATATCATTCATAAAATTACTCTGAAATATCAATTATGATGGCAAAGATAGATGATTACACTTATCAAACACCTACAAACTTAATCCTATGTTGTAATCAATATAGCACTATAAAAGCTCAAAAAATAGAAATGAACTAAAAGAGAGATTTAGACTTGTCAAATAAATTTTGCAGCTTCACTAAATGAAGTTCAGATTGTACTTGGTGATCAATTTGTTCTATTTTCGGCATAAAATTGATTAGCTTCCCTAGAGTAATTGACTTAGATACTTGATTAACAAAGATGTGCATGATATATATAATTAAACGTGTAGATATAAGAAGTGAGGCCTAGACCCACGAGAATTTAACTAGAAATTTAATATCGAAAAAAGTAAAGAATAGTTGATTTTAGTGTTGAGGTATAAATTTCACGTCAATTAAATAACGAAATATAAGGATATAGGATATTTCTCTTAACAAAATTTACCGTCTGAATATAATATCAGAGTCCAATAAGTTTAAATAACCATTTCGATCCTATTAAGATTTGAAATAAGCACACAGATTCTATAATTGATGTTCTCAAACAAGTCATTACCGGAAGCATGTTAGTGTAAATATCATGTTGAGTTACAATGAATCGACATGCAATGTATTATTGAAGACAATCTTTAAATGACATATGTGGTATTATCTAACAGCTCTTCAAGTGGTCCAACATTATGTTCATGAAGTAGGCGGTATGACTTGTCAACATGTAAGTGTCCATGTCAACAGGTTATTAAGAAAGAGATTTTTTTTCTTATTTTTTATTTTAATAAGTGCTAGTTAGTTAAATGTGGAATTTGAAAAGAGAAACTTCGTGTAAAATAGGGTAGAATTTTATGTCCACTTGACAGAGGCATTCCATAGAATTTTCAAGACTTTTGGTGTGTTAAAGACTTCACAATCAAGTCAAGATTTGTCTTGTGGTGCTAACAAAAATGCATATCAGAGTAGCATGAGAAGAGAATTCATCCAAAAGAAATTTTAAATTCAGTATTTCTTAACGAACACACTAAGAGGGAAAAAAAATAATAAACAGAGAATGATGAACTTTCGTTGATAATTAACAATACAATTAATAGAGCCACAAAATAGATCTAGTTACATAGCTGAAAAACTGATCCCTAAGTTTCAAGATTACAAATTCAAAATTTTATAAATATTGCTATATGAAAATAAATGTGGAAGAAAATTAAGCCAAAAATAATTATTTGGTTTCGTAGATTTGATTGATTTCTCATTTCAATTTACTCTAGAATCACAAAATTTATCTAGATGCATAGCTGAAAAACTGATCCCTAAGTTCCAGGATTACAAATTCAAAATTTTATAAAGATCGCTTTATGGAAATAAATGTAGAAGAAAATTAAGCCAAAAATAATTATTGGATATCATGGATTTGATTGTTATTCTCATTTGAATTTGCTCTAACTTTTTCATTTAATTTTATATTAATAACATATTAAAATGTTGTATAGATACTTAAAGAGGTTCACCATCTAGTAAAGCTTATGTCTATATCTGTAAATAGTATCATGTGGCATGATTTTTTCTAAATGTAAATATGACCCAATTTATATTATCAAGTGAAATTATAGAAAATAAAATTTATTAATACTGATTTACACTTACAACAAGTAACTCCAAACAAAAGTAGAAACTGACAAAATTTTCAATAAAATGTGCGAAGTGTCTAATTTTATGTGAGTTTTGAAGCTGAACAGAGAAGATTGATCAATCTTAATATTGGTTGTCGCCATGGCTAAGCAGGCTGCCATTAGACAGTGCAACAAAATTGCACCAAGAAAGTAATTAGACATTTGCATAACAATTTTTCTTTCTACATGTAGCAATCCTAGTTTGAAGATATATATAGTACA